CATAGAGCGCATTGCAGTAATCCAAGCAAGAGATAACTAGTGCATGCACCACTCTGGCAAGACAGTGCGTGGGCAGGTAGGGTCTCAGCTTGCATACCAGATGGAGCTGATAAATAGCCACCCTGGACACAGAATTCACCTGCGCCTCCATGGACAGCTTTGAGTTCAGAATGACTCCCAGGCTGCGCACCTGGTTCTTCAGGGGCACAGTTACCCCATTCATGATGAGGGAGTCCTCCACACCCGCCCGCCTCCTGTCCCCCAAGAACAGTCCTTCTGTCTTGTCAGGGTTCAACCTCAATCTGTTAGCCGCCATCCATCCTCCAACCGCCTCCAGACACTCACACAGGACCTTCACTGCCTTCACTGGTTCTGATTTGAAAGAGAGGTAGAGCTGTCTTGATGAACTTGGATGAACTTGCTGTAATTATTGTCAATTTCCTGTCAAGCGATCCAAAGGGTGGAGAGACTTCGCTGTGGAGAAAGGTTGCAGCATTGGGGAGTTTTTTGTTTGGAGAAAAGGCGAATAAAAAGTGATGTGACGGAAGTTTATTAAATGAGGTACAGTGGTGCCTCGCAAGACGAATGCCTCGCAAGACGAAGAGACGCGTGGAACGGATTAATTTCGTCTTGCGAGGCACCACTGTATAGCACTAGGGAAATGGATAGGGAGAAGTTTATTTCCCTCGCAGGACTAGAACCCGTGGGCATCCAATGAAGGTTGTAAAAGCTGTAAAAGAGAGTAAGACAAATTAATGGAGGAGAGGGTTTTCAGTGGCTACTAGCCATGATGGCTGTGCGCTGCTTCCATGGTCTGAGGTAGCAGTCTGGTTGGCCTCTGTGAGAACAGGATGCTGGACTCGATGGGCCATTGGTTCTTAGGTTCTTAATTAGGGTTGCCATACATCCAGGATTTAACCAGCGAATATAGCAGCTGAGGGAGTTTTGGAAAATTGGCAAAACGTCTGGGGTTTTGAGGTTGATTTGAGTTTCATTCCCCCCCCAAAAAAAAAAATTACTGTATTTTTCGCTCCATAAGATGCACCTGACCATAAAGACGCACCTAGTTTTTAGAGGAGGAAAGGGGGAAAGCCCCGTTTTTTGGGAGATCAGCTCACAGTTGCGAAGCTTCTTTTGCAAAGGGGAAAAGTCCTGTTTTTATGGGGTTCAACTCACAGTTCTGCAGCTTCTTTAGGAAAGGAAAGGGAGCCGTTTCTACAGTTTCCAGACAGATAATCTAATCAGCCAGTTTAACTGCTGGGGAAACAAACGGCCTCCGTCTGCAGAACATTCAACAATGGAGGCCTGGGCAAGGGGCCAGAAAGGGAGCCAGCGATCAACCACACATTCACTCCATAAGACGCACAGACATTTCCCCTTACTTTTTAGGAGGAAAAAAGTACGTCTTGTGGAGCGAAAAATACGGTACTTCTAGAAATATCGCAACCCTTTCTTAATGGCCCAGTGCCCTGTTGTCCTTCTCTTGACACATGGATGCTGTGCAGGTAATGTTTGTATGTTACGAGAGAGATGAACCTTCTTGCGTCCAAATGGTGTCGTTACCTGCATTCTTGAACATTGATTTGGAACACATAATATGCCTTGCCTTGCTGTCTTTGAAATTATTCTAATTTTCTAATGCATCCCTAGCCCTTGTCCTATTTGTTTTGCGGAAGTTGTTTCCTGCAGAGTTTTTTAAACCAGTCTTGGGTTCTTCTTTTCCTCCAGGTAGTTGAAGCCCATGTGCCTAGTTTCATTTTTGATGAGTTCCGAACAGTTATGTGAACGCCAGAGGAAAACCAACAGCCCTGCTCTGGGATTTGCTAAACAAGAACGCAAGAGGAGATGGGAGGAAGAGGAGGAAAATAGCACATCACTTCAGAAGTGGCTTCAATTTTTGACTTTTGCAGAAGCATACTTATGCCTACATTGATCTAACATAATAAACTGATACTAAACCAACTTTCCCCTGTCTGGTGCCCTCCTGCTGTTCTGGGCTGCCGGCTCCCAAGGGCTGATGGGAGTTGTAGTCTGAAGTAGCTGGTGGACGGCAGGCTGCACTAAACCTTTTAAGCAACCCTGTTTAAAAATCACAACGTCCTGCTCAGCTGATGATTGCATATGTGTATTTTGTACTTTTAACCTGCAATGTTGTACACTATTCCTTTATGTACAAAAATCATTCGGTTTATGTTCTTTGCAATTTGTGGACATAGAATGACTTTTTTGTATAGCGATTAAAAGAATGATATTGAAATAAGGAGCTCTGGAATATTTGCATAATCCAAAATGGTTTCCTTAACTTGGGGTTATCATTTCGGCAGGTTAAACACATGCACAAAACCAGTTGTGGGGCACACAATTGCTTTGATTGTCCTTGAACCTTCCTGCCACACCAGTGTGACGCAGCACACCTTTTGAGAACCACAGGGTTCTTGTGGCCAGCACTAGGAACTCATGACAGCTGAGACCCCTTCTAAACCAAGGTTAGATGCATTTCAGTTTACCGTATTTTTTGCTCCATAAGACGCACCTGACCATAAGACGCACCTAGTTTTTAGAGGAAGAAAACAAGAAGAAAAATATTCTGAACGAAACAGTGGATGTATGATTTTTGTGGTTCATGCTGTGACCACAGACATGATATGTGATTTGATGGTGAGTTTGGGGTAGCCCAGTGCAAAAATCCTGAGGATCCATGAGGATCCGTTCTTTGTAACCATGTTTTTGCACCATTGCAGCCCCAGGAAACAGTGTATGTATGATTTTTTTGGTGCAGGCTATAGCCATGGACATGCTATATGATCTGATGGTGAATTTGGGATGACCCAGTGCAAAAATCCTGAGGATCCATGGGCTTTTACCTCCCTCCTCCCAGGCAGCCTCCTTTATCGCTAGCGTCCCTTATCTCTCTCCCGATCCCTTGCCGATCAGCTGCTCAGCAGCTTCCTTTCAACACCCCCTTCCCTCTTGTTTGCCTTAGTGTCTTTTCCTTAGCTGGAGCAGTTTTTTCTTCTAATTTCTCTCCTCATTGCTTCTTTTAGTATTCCTGTCTCCTCTCCTTGCAAATTCACTGTCCTTACCCCCCCCCTCCCCCGGCAGCCTCCTTTATCCGCAGCCTTATCTCCCTCCCAATCGCTTGCTGATCAGTGGCTTTGTTTCAACACCCCCTTCCCTCTTTCTAAAAAAAAAAAGCACGATCTGCTTTTCACCCCTGGGCAATTCAGCTCCAGGGACCACACATTCCCTCCATAAGACGCACAGACATTTTCCCTTACTTTTTAGGAGGAAAAAAGTGTGTCTCATGGAGCGAAAAATACGGTAGTTAAGTGGTGAGTACTTACACAACTTCAATGCTTTTGTGTGCAAAGCTTTGCAAGTGGGGAGGACAGGAAGAAAACCAGAACAACTTAGTCCCGCACCTGTGACCTTATTGATCCCACCTACATGACCTCCTTGACCTCTGACCGCCCACCAGGTCCAGGGTCTACCAGCCACCACTGGTATTTGGATCTGGCTGGCCTTGAAAACTCCAATGTTCTTCTGGGTTCCTTGCTAGGCACAAAACTTGGAGGAAGTCTTTTCTGGCGAGAGCTGCTTTTGAGAACTGATGTTGCCATTTTCAAAGAGGAAATAAAGCTTGTGTGTGGTTTCTGACTTCTTTTGACTGGTCTTCTCTTTACAGCTTTCCTTGTTTAGAAAGATTGTTCTGGCTTTTATTTTAGGTCAGGCATAGGCAAACTCGGCCCTCCAGATGTTTTGAGACCACAATTCACATCATCCCTGACCACTGGTCCTGTTAGCTAGGGATCATGAGAGTTGTAGTCACAAAACATCTGGCGGGCCAAGTTTGCCTATGCCTGTTTAGGTCTTATTTTACTGGTTGGTTATGTTAGGCAATCTAAATCAAAAGCAGCTTTTCAAAAGAGTTAAAGGAGTAATTCCCACTTCGTCCAGCAAGACTTGCATCCAGGTGAACATATATAGGATTGGATTATAGGATAAACTACACAGAAGCGCAACTAATGTCTTATCTGAATAGTATCTTGGTTCTCTCCGTTTTAATAAGATGAAACACAGGGAATTAAGTGATGCAAGAGAAGCTTACACATGTTGTATAATGGCTCACCAGACAGCTTATTATGGTTATTAATTAAATTTGTAGACTGCTCTTCATCCGTAGAGCTCAGGGCAGTTCACAACATAAAAATGCAATATAAAAACGCAAATTGCATAACAAAAACAACACAAAACACACAAAACAACAGCTCCCTCCCCTTTAGCAATGCCACCCCAAATATAGTTCAAGGGATGAAATGGACTTGGAAGAATATAAACTCCCTATTTGGGCATTTTGAAACATCTGTTAAATGGAATCACAGGCAGGATTAAATTTTGAGCAGTTGGTAGAAAATAAAATATAGTCGCAATGAAAGAACTCTGGAATAGAACAGTGTGCCCCAGCCACTCTGGGCAGCTTCCAAAATATATAAAACCGTAATAAAACATTAACAAACTTTCCGATACAGAGCTGCCTTCAGATGTCTTGTGTAGTTCTTTACCTCCTTGACATCTGATGGGAGGGTGTTCCACAGGGCGGGTGCCACCACCGAGAAGGCCCTCTGCCTGGTTCCCTGCAGCTTCACTTCTCGGAGTGAGGGAAACGCCAGAAGGCCCTTGGAGCTGGACCTCAGTGTCCAGGCAATGGGGGTGGAGACGCTCCTTTGGGTATACTGGGCTGAGGCCGTTTAGGGCTTTAAAGGTCAGCACCAACACTTTGAATTGTGCTTGGAGTGGCCCCCGTGCCTGTAGTACACCCTCACAAATCAGTTAAGCTCCAATGACACTATTTTATTTACGGCTCCAGGGAAGCAGTGCTTTGGGCACAGCTTTCCCAATTAGCGCAGGTCCCAACTGCAACAGCAACCATTAAGTACGTGTTGTAGGACTCTACATACAAATGTTGCTTTTGTCTATTTTGTAATGTCTTGATGGAGAGGATTAGGTAGCTGCCCTACAGGTTTCAGATATTGAGGCGTTAGATGAAAGGAGCAGAAGTTAAACTGATAAGAGCAGATACTACACTTGATCCTAGCCAAAAGGCCGAGAAGTTTTAATTGCTGCAAATTGGAAACCGTATTTTTTGCTCTATAAGACTCACTTTTCCCCTCCTAAAAAGGGGAAATGTGTGTGCGTCTTGTGGAGCGAATGCAGGCTGCGCAGCTATCCCAGAAGCCAGAACAGCAACAGGGATTGCTGCTTTCGCTGCGCAGCAATCCCTCTTGCTGTTCTGGCTTCTGGGAGTCAGAATATTTTTTTATTGTTTTCCTCCTCCAAAAACTAGGTGCGTCTTATGGTCTGGTGCGTCTTATAGAGAGAAAAATACGGTAGTTAATTGCTTGCTTGCTTGCTTGCTTGCTTGCTTGATTAAATTAAATAAATAAAAAAGAAAGGATCAGAAGTTGCTGCCAACCTAGTGGAGTGTGTTGTCAGACTAGTTGGACAATGCAACTTACCGTAAATGTCATAAGCTTAAATGTCATTTGCAAGCCTCCACCCACGTAAGAGTAGCAGAAGCGATCTTCTTCCCCAAGTGGGTGGAAGGATAGAAACAGAGCATCAGAAGGTCTAATGACACTAAATACACCTTACTAACATCTAAATAGTTTCATGTCTTTTCCAGAGGATGGGGAGGATTTGGGCAGAAAGTCAGAAGCGTAAGTTCCTGTTTATTATGAAAGCGAGACAAGACTTTTGGCATACAGGAAGGATCTGTCCTGCGCACCACCCTATCTTTGCGAAAGGTGCATAAATATTTGGCAGCGGGTAACACGGCAAACTTGACACCTGACGGGCATTTTTGGCAGGCAAGCGGTAAAACTGCTGTTTTGTTTTTGTTTTTCTCCTGGCGCGTCTTCTGATAGCAGCAGCAAGGAAGGGGAGAACAGGAAAAAGAAGGCAGGTGTTGTAATTTCATAAAAGTTTTTCTTCTGTGTGTGGAAACACGAGCATTGTAGCAAGCACACGTGCACGATTTCTTGCGTCATTATTGGCTAGGAATGCGCATGAACAAAACATGACAGGCAGATATTCTTCTACTCGGCTACAGAACGGGTATTCACACGCCCTTCTTTAGCTCAAGCTTAGGCCACGGCATCACCTTGCAGCTGTGAGAACATCTTTATGGAAGACCCAGCACTCTGCGGTCAGCTGTGTACGTGAGGCGCAAACTTTGGAGTTGTGGCACCTCCGAGTTATGTCACCCTGGTATCAGGAATATGTGTTGTGTAAGCAGAGCGTGTGAGGATGTGAGTAAGGATGCATGCTGTGTTGTGCTGAACATGTGGGCCCTGACATCCAGCCCTAGGTCCTGGCTGTTGGTTTCTATTTCCTCACTGAGCAGCAAAATGCTTGTCACAAGACATTGTTTACATTCCACAGTCAGAGTTACTGTTGGGTTCCCACAGGAATGGGAGACTGGATGTGACGTACACTGGTTTCCTGTTTTTCAGTGTTCTCTCAGTTTCTTTGTGTCGAGAGGAGTTGCTTCTCTGCTCTCACAGAGGCAAGATGGATGTTTGTATGTTCTCAGCATAGAGTGTAAATAAACTTTAGCATGTAGCACATTTGCCTGCTTATCCTTTCGTTGCTGGACTACACTCTGCTTGGGCTCAAGATAAGACGAGCCTGTATCAGCTCCAGATGGGCCGGAGCTGATCAAAATCTCACACTGGCATCCAGATGGGTCCCAATTCATTAGTAATATCCAAGGCAACACGATGACCAAGTACTGAAGGAATGGGTTTCCCAAAACCCAAAACTGACTGTGCAGGCAGTTTTAAACTGCACCAAAATCCCTATTTTTCCTTAGCTAAAATGCATAAACTTGAGCCGTTGAGCAAATGCATAACAAGAACACAGCTCTCTTCTTTATCAGTTTGTGACGTCAAGGATGACCCTGACTGTACCAGTAGAACAGAGAAAACACGTTTGTGCCTTATCTTATGTTCTGACCACAAAGACGCACAGACCCAAGTCTGGGAACAACGCCAGAGTGCGTTCTCGGAGATGACGACCTCTTCCTCCAAGATAAGAGTAGGAAGAGGAAGATCCTTTTATGGTCAGAAGTACAGGAAGGAATACCCTTTTATGGTTAAGAATACCAGAGCAAGAACATATGTGATGTCAACCTGCGTACATAGGCTGACGTGGTTGGAGTCCTGGGGAAGGAGGAAGAGGGTGCCTGGAGGATATATATAAGGCATGTAATCTCTGATTTCTTTGGACTTGCTGTGGACTCACCACGCAAGTGCCTTCTGCTATCCAGAGAGCAGAATAAACTCTTTCTTTGAACCAACCTCGGTGTCATTTGACTTCATTCCTCCTGTCCCAGAGCGACGCAGACCCAATCGGTGAACTCCAATAAGGCTACAACAATGCAATGTCAATATAAACTCTTTATATAATCTATACAGAACAGTATGAAATATATGAAATGCAGTCTCTGCAAATCAAATAAACAGAAACCTTATAAACCTCTGAAAGTCACAAAATATGCACTCTTGATGGATTCTCTGAAAGAGACTTATAAGACTTTCATTTGGTTCTATGTTTTCAAGAGAATCCATCAATCCATATATTGGATCCATATATTGTTTGCAACACAGGGGTTTAATTGTTTGGTTACTTATGGGTCCCAATTCATGGCATCCAGCGCACAGAACCATCAAAAGTACACTGTACCCTCCAGCACCAAATGATTTGGACAATATCCATCAGCTGGTAGCCCAGAACAGCTGGAGGGCATCAAGCTGGGAGAAACTGGTATAAGAGCTAAAAGTTCAAAAAAGAGTTATTTATGTATGCCACTACTGCGGCCTGTGTTTTGTTAGCCCAAAAATGGAAAACGAGCCAAGTCCCAGCTAAAGAAGAATGGCAACTTAAACTAATGGAATATGTGCAGCTTATGGACCTAACGTATAGAAGAAGAGTACAAGAAGGACATACATTTAAAGAAGACTGGAAAATGTTTATTGAATATATGGGGGTGGGGAATTGTGCACACTCGAAAACGTTGGCAGAGTTAAGATAAATTCAACAGTGTAAATAAGTTTTGATGGATGTAATAATGGAATACTGAATGGTTTAGTTTGTATAAAATATGCAGGGATTTGTGTTATGCAAAATGAACCATGGAAAGAGAAGAAGGGAAGTCATTGATATTTTAAGGTTGTTTAAATGAATGTTCTAAAATGTAAAACAGAAAATTTAATAAAAATTTAAGAATAAGAGAGAGCTAAAATTCAAGATTCATCTTGATGTTAATGACTTACTTCAGTGACCTTTGGTAAACCATCATTGTCCCAACACCAGAACCCAAACACACATACCCTGCACATGGGAATAACTGTTCTGGGTTTCTGGGAGGGGTAGTGAATGCTGCAGAACACAGAAGCAGAATTCAAAATGACCTTAACAGATTGGAGAACAGGGTGCAAGCTAACAAAATGAATTTCAGTAGGGACAAATGTCAGGTTCCGCACTTAGGCAGGAAGAACCAGATGCACAAATATAAGGTGGGAAACACCTGGCTTACTAGCAGTACATGTATAAAGGATCCAGGGATCTTGGTGGGTCACAAGCGGAACATGATGCAGTAGTTGATGCAGCAGCAAAAAAGAGAGAAAAGCTAGTGCTATTCTAGGCTGCATCAACAGAAGCATAGTGTCCAGATCAAGGGAAGTCATAGTAAAACTCTGTTATGCCTTGGTCAGACAACGATGCTGTGTTCATTAGGCCTGACACTCAATTTCAACATATCCTCAATAGTTTTATAACCAAGTATCCAGCAGATCACAAGGTACTGGCCTTTACATGTCATGTTGTTAATTTTGCTATTATTATTCGAATGTACACTTGCCATTTGCTTCTTACTGCTTAGTAAGCATAATTTTACTTTCGGTAGATTGCTCTGAAATGTGTTTTGTAATGACTCTGGTTGTTCTGAACTGTATTCTTTTTATTGCATGACACATTTCTCAATGAAATCTGCTTATAAAAATTGCGCTATAATTACTGCGAATCACACGTATGGGGTTTAAGAACATTGCAAAACAAATACTTTAGTCACCGGAAAGCAAGACACAAAAGTCTATAATTGAACAAGTTAAGCACACTCACCTTGGACTTCCCAAGAATCTCCATCATAGCATCATCTTTTTGTATGAGCATTTTATCTTAATATTACCATAGTAAAACTATTGCTCAGGCTATCACCTTAGGCAGGGAAAGAGTCACATGAGTGAATGATCTTCCAAATAAAAACTGCATCTACGAAACTAAATGTCAGCAAGGAGGTTGACAAACCCTGCCATGCTAGATTTCTCAATGTAGGGAACATTCATCCTTTGGGGAAACCAGCAAATATGCATAAGATCTCAAGTGGTACAGTCTAGCAAGTTTCCCAATGCAACTTCTTTTGAGTCGGAATGGATAGTCCGCACAGGTGCTCATGTTTACACAGGGAAACGTTTGTGTGAACTGCACAAACTACAAATAAAGCTACAGAGATTGCTAAGCTCACAGAAGTCGAAAAATGTTTTGCTGTGATTTGGGCCGGGGGGCAGGATCACATCTGCTTTTATGTGGAGAACTTGGTGTGAACTGTCCCTTGCTTGTCATTCTACAGTGCCAAACCAACACAGGAAAACAAAATCACTTAAAATTTACTTCACTGTATACTTTTCAAGGGGATGCAGGTGGCGCTGTGGGTTAAACCACAGAGCCTAGGACTTGCTGATCAGAAGGTCGGTGGTTCGAATCCCCGTGACGGGGTGAGCTCCTGTTGCTTGGTCCCAGCTGCCAACCTAGCAGTTCAAAAGCACGTCAAAGTGCAAGTAGATAAATAGGTACCGCTCTGGCGGGAAGGTAAACGGCGTTTCCGTGTGCTACTCTGGTTCGCCAGAAGCGGCTTAGTCATGCTGGCCACATGACCCAGAAGCTGCATGTCGGCTCCCTTGGCCAATAAAGCGAGATGAGCGCCGCAACCCCAGAGTTGGCCACGACTGGACCTAATGGTCAGGGGTCCCTTTACCTTTATACTTTTCAAGAGTAGAACCAGACAGGCTCTCATGATGTTTCACGGGCACAGAATCTTTGAGAATCAAAAAACAAACTCTTCTGGGATCCCCTACTGTAGCACTGAGGAGCAAACCAAAGCTGCCAGGATTCTCTGAGGGAAGCTGCATGCTTTAAACGTATGGTATGGATGTGACCAAAGTTGTATCTCATAGCAACTGAGGAAGCAGGTTTACAGCTACGTAAAGGGTCGTGGCAAGGATTCACAGCTCTGTGTTGTGATGCTGCTTTAAATCTCCTATGCTGCCACAGGCCTCCTCAACTATGAAAAGAACCAGCGTCATATCTCCCTCTTCCCCACTAGAAAGTTATTTAAATAAAACTTAAGAAAAGGATCCCGGTACTTATACCACAGGACAAAAAAAGGAGACAGGGACATTTAGCTGAATAAAACACATTAGGATTTTATCTCATCATAGAGGGACATTTCACATAAAAGATAGAAAATGTCAAAGGTACAGATAACATTAGCAGCAAAAAGAAAGAGTTAACTGTTTGAACTACCCCTTGCTTCATTAGCTTTTAATTAACATTAATGGGGCATGCTCAACAATCCATCAACTATCTTCTGCTGGAATCAGCATTTTAGCTTCTGTCCTGAACATTTTTATAGTGGTCCCTGGAAACATCGATCTCTTTTAGAATCTTCATCCGTATAAGGAAATCAAACTTACATATTTTTTTGTATGTGAGTTTGTTATTTTTACATACATACACGCACATATTCATTGTCTGTGTGACTAGTAACTAAATTATTCAGATTTGTATAGTTCTGGCACGAGAAACCCTCAGGAACTAGCAGTAGTACCAGCGAGGCTGCCTTAGCTAGCACTACACATTATTCATTGTAGGAATCAAACGCCAAGAATGAACCAGCTCCCAAGGAAGCAAACCTGGGCCTGGGCTGCAGGTGAGGGTTCAACGCGATTCATTGTTCCTTCATATTGTTTTAAAAATAAATGCATCCATAAACCTAGCCTAGCTCTCACCCTGATGTGCTAGTTTTCTATGTGCAGGGCAATTTATTTGCTAATTTTCGAGGAAGGGTTGTGTGGAAGAGCATTCGGTCATTCCATTTTTGATCTCCAGTCTAAAGTGATGCAGCCAAGGCACAGGTTTACCTCCTCAGTGAGAACAATGATTCCTGGCTATCCTGTCTCCTGTATTGGCAGGATTGCATGTGCTACAGAGTTTTGTGTAGCATTTAGCCACGGCCCCAGCAGCCAGAGGGATGGGAAGCTCAACAGGCAGATGGTTATTTGCACTCCCTTGGCTCTGAAGAGCTACGCCCAGAAACAGCAGTAGGAATTACCTCTCCCTCCCCATAGATTTGGCTGATCTTTACTGAAATATTACCTTCTTGGTTCATGGGATTATACACACTTGGGATCCCCCTTATAGGAAGATCTCACATCCAGAGGCTGGCTCTCTCTGTACAAAAAAACACAAAACGAAGCTTGGTCCTTTTCTTGAGAAAGAGAGAGTAGAAGTCTGGTTTTTTGGGACAGAACTCTCCCACATTCACAAGAATGGAGGGTGAGAGGAGAGAAGGGAGTCTACTGCGTTCCTTTTCCTGCGGATTTGTCTTTCCGAATTTAATAGGTGAGGTACTTTATTTCAGAGTATATGAGTGGAAATATCACGGAGCAAGCCCGGTACAGCACAGCAACGCTGCTGAAGATCGCTCGCGGCTTGGTGATCCAGGACTCAGACTTGAAGCAGAAATACACGGCGTAGAGGGCAACAGCAAAGAAGTGGCCAATCAGGACGACAGGCTTGGGTGATAAGCTGCAGGGAAGGATTAAGGAAATGATGAAAAAAGCATTTCACCTTACGAGCAATGTACTAGATTTTACAAAATACTAATCCGTTGTAATGGTTGGGTAACAAAGCCTCTCGAAAGGCCACTTTATGCTTAGCAGGTTGGATTAGATAATCCTCAGGGTCCCTTCCAATTCTATGATTTCTCCCCCTCCCACAACCTTACCTATGAAAAGGTTAGTGTTAACACAGATTGAATGTTTCACTACTGGGTTAGTTCCATCTGCTTTTCCGTTCCAGCTGCACACAATCCCCCTCTGACCCTGAGGCAGGTGTCGAGCCAATCTGCCCTGTGCCTACTCAGGGACCACACACTCCACCCCAGTGCCAACCCTGGATCCATTTGGGGATGGGGCTAATGTTCTTAAGTTCTTAAGACCCCAATTAAACATACTGTGAGGAGAGGAGGAAGGAGGAGACACTGACACTGCCTCTCCTCCCTGCCAACAGAAAGCAAGAGGATTCAATCCTGCACAGTGCTGCTGGAGTGTTTTTGGATGACAAGCAGGGCAAAAATGAATCACCATATTTTTCACTCCATAAGACGCACTTTTTCCCTCCTAAAAAGTAAAGGGAAATGTGTGTGTGTCTTATGGAGCGAATGCAGGCGGAAGGCTCTTCTCAGCGCTCCCTTTAAAAAGCACCTGTCCCGGTGTCTCCTCCTCCTCTTTTACAGCGAGGCAGGAGGAGGGATGGGCAAGCAAAGTGAGAGCTGCGCAAAGCGGGAGAGAAGCCATGTAAGCTTTAAAGCAAGAAAAGCGAGAGCCACTTACATGCTCTGCGCACAGTATTTTTTTCCTTGCTTTTAGCCCTCTAAAAACTAGGTGCGTCTTATGGTCAAGTGCGTCTTGTGGAGCAAAAAATACGGTAACTGAATAAGCAAGTAAGAAAGAATCAGGTAGCAGGTGATGCAAAAGACCCTGCTCTGCCTAAGGGCGCTGGAGAACTGCTGAGAATACTATTAAGCTAGATGGACAAATACCCTGGCCTGGGATGAGGCAGCTTCCCATGTTCCTGAATAAAAATAAATATTTGGAGTGGGGAGAGAGAACATGACACCTGGCTTAGCTTGTTTGTATTAAGTTATCTGATCATAAAACTTTGTGGACCTGGAAACTACAACTAATCCAGAATGCAGCAGCTAGACTGGTGACTGGGAGTGGTAGCCAAGACCGTATAACACCGGTCCTGAAAGCCCTACATTGGCTCCCAGTACATTTCCAAGCACAATTCAAAGTGTTGGTGCTGACCTTGAAAGCCCTAAACGGCTTCGGCCCAGTATACCTGAAGGAGCGTCTCCACCCCCACCGTTCTACCCTGACACTGAGGTCCAGCTCCGAGGGCCTCCTGGCGGTTCCCTCATTACAGGGAACCAGGCAGAGGGCCTTCTCAGTGGTGGCGCCCGCCCTGTGGAATGCCCTCCCATCATATGTCAAGGAAATAAACAACTCTCTGATTTTTAGAAGACATCTGAAGGCAACCCTGTTTAGGGAAGTTTTTAATGTTTGATGTTTTATCGTGTTTTTAATATTCTGTCGGGAGATGCCCAGAGTGGCTGGGGAAACCCAGCCGAATAGGCGGGGTATGTATGTATGTATGTATGTATGTATGTATGTATGTATGTATTGTATGTATTTTAGTAGTAGCAGTAGTAGTATTTGATCCCCAGCCCCTCTACGCCTCACTGGTTAAGTGGACTCATGAAAGGTCTCTTTCACATGGTTTCCAAAGAGAGTCCTGCTCTGAACAACAACCTGAGAAGGATTTTATAAACATTTCTCCAACTTACACAGACAGTAATCCAACTGGGCCAGATACGCACTCGCCACCAAGCTTGAAATAAAGGAAACAGGCTTGCCTTAACTGACGCAGAGAAACTGCAAAAGAATTAAAAGGAACACTGCTTTACAAGAAAGCACAGAAAATAAGAGTGGAATGAACTACTTAAATGAAGAATAATCTTATAACATACATGGCAACACACACAAGTTTCTAACATCCTGCCCCTCATTTCTTCAGTCTGATATTATGCATTTTTAAATAATCGCCACCACAACAAACTGATGCAGCAACAGTGCCTTATTGTTATTATTTATGCATTTATATACAGCTTAATGTCAAAATACTAATCAGTTTATAAATCCAAAGACCAATTACACAAATTAACACTAATTAACATATAAACATCCATTCTTAAATCACACAATAAAACAATCCCATTAAAACATTCATTAAATTATGCAACGAAACAATCCCATTCCAACAAAACATCAATTAAATTATGAGACTCAGGTGGTGAGATCAACGTAATGCCTGTGTGAACAGGAGTGCTTTCAAAAGCTGCCTGGAAGCCCATACAGGTGGGGCCTCTCGTATTTCACCAGGGGTCACTCCAGGAACACTGGTGCTACTAGTGAAAAAACCCACTTCCGTGTCACCACAAGCTAATGATCATTACCATGGTAAGATTGTCATACGTTATCCAAACTATACCCATGCTAAAAATCTAAGTTTGTGCTCTGATGAATGGATCTAGGCTGCATCTGCAATCTACAAAGCATTCAATGAGACTTAACAACTCTCAATTAATTTATCAATTTATTAATATAATTTATTTGCTTTCCAACGAAATGCTGACAGTAGACTTTTTTTTTTTTTACGTCCCATAGTCCACTTAGGTACTGATAGAGAAAGTCAGATGGACAGAATACATGTTAAGATTGCCATAAGGATGCTGCTGACATCCCTGTTCTAAATACACCTTTAGGCACCAGGTGAAAATTGGCCCTCCAGATGTTTTGGGACTACAATTCCCATCATCCCTGACCACTGGTCCTGTTAGCTAGGGATCATGGGAGTTGTACTCCCAAAACAGTTGGAGGGCCGAGTTTGCCTATGCCTGAACTAGACCTTTGGCTGACAGACATCTGATGCCTTTTTTTTTTTTTTTTAAATAAATTTTTATTAATTTTCCAAGCACAAAATAAAGAAAACAAAAAACAAACAAACAATACACAGTACACCGACATACAAACATATAAACATGTACAATTTCATAACCATTTTTTCATAAACCTTACTTTCCGGACTTCCCCATACCTCCCCTTTTCTGCATCCTTGTTTCATCTGATGCCTTTTTAAACGGTTTATGGGAGGGGGGATTATTGGCTTGTTTCTGTTCTTATTTTTATTATGCATTTTGTGTATTTTATATTGCAATTTTATGTTGTGAACCACCCAGAGATCTATGGGTATAGGGCGGTACACAAATTTAGTAAGTAATAATAATAAATGTCACATGTTCAGAAGAGAAATGGCAGTGCAGAAAAGCTTGTTTTCAATAGCAATCCCATGGCTATCAAACAGTGTGCTCCTGCCTTAGGGGTGGATGGATGGATGGATGAATGATCAAGGTATAAGTTTGCCACAGTGCAGCTAAAGTAATATGGAGGTGTTCCATCACGTCAACAGGTCTTGCATCACTTAAACTGGAGCAAAATAGATTTATGAAGTGTAATTAACTTTCTTTGTATCTTTTGGGAATGCATTTACCATCTGTTCCAGCAAATAATTCATAAAGCGCCTGAGCAAGGACGTTCACGACAAAGGAATGGGACTTTCGTCTTGTCCAGTAAAATGTCTTCTTTGCCTGCAAAAGGTAAGGTAAGGTTACTTGCTGGCATCAGGATGGAACATAACATTGCATACGTAATGGGGTTTACCAGTTTCAATATGGTTTAAGATGGGGGCACTTACTCCACCAAATGACAGAGGAATGGTCTCATGATGAGAAGGGATCTCAAGAGCTTGTCAGCAAATTGTTATCAGTACACCTATGGATCTGCTTTATATTGAGTCAGATCATTCGGCTTATTTCTAGTCTGCTCTTACTGAAGGAAGCTCTCCAGGGCAGAATTCTGTCCCATCACTTGCTACCTAACAATCTGAGATGACAGAAATAGAACATGAGACCTTTTCTGTGCAAAGGCTAGTTAGTGCTCTACCATGGAAGCATGGCCTGCTCCCTTTTTGCATTTCCCCACAGAGAATGCATAATGCATTTCACATTCTTAAAAGGGTGCACATGATTTATGGGTACCTCAGTTGGTTAGAGGGTGGTGCTGTTAACGCCAAGGTTGCAGGCTCGGTCCCTGTGTGGGACGGCTGCATATTCCTGCATTGCAGGGGGTTGGACTAGATCAGTGTTTCCCAAACTTGGGCCCCCAGCTGTTTTTGGACTACAACTCCCATCATCCCTAGCTAGCAAGGCCAGCGGTCAGAGATGATGGGACCTGTTGTCTGAAAATAGCTGGAGACCTAACCCTAGACTAGATGGTCCTCAGGGTCCCTTCCAACTCTACAATTCTATGACACCTATTTCATCACTCATCACAAACCTAACCCTAGACTAGATGGTCCTCAGGGTCCCTTCCAACTCTACAATTCTATGACACCTATTTCATCACCCATCACAAACAAGCCCACCATGGTGTCAAAATGTCCAGAAATGTCACATCTCTAAACAGAAATTATAGGAATAGCAGGACCAGGCTTCTCCCAGCAGAATACTTTGTCAGAAACAAAATAGTTTTCTGGCATCTTAAGTATTTATTGCAGCATAAGTTTCCATGTAGTACAACATGGATCACAAGTTACACGTGACAAGCAGCAGTGAGCTGAGCAAGAATCTTATCAGACCTGTTTGCCAATGTCCTCTCAATTCTATTAAGTCCATCATTATACTGTCATGAGTTTGGGGAAGGAGGATGTAGGCTGTATGGAAGATCCTTCTAATTCCTGGATCCAACAAGTGTTACAATATAAGCCAGGCTAGCTTTCCCTAAAGAATCCTGGGGAACTGCAGTTTACCCTTCAGAGAGCTACAGTTCCAAGAAGCCTTGACAAACTATAGTTCCCAGGACTCTTTGGGGAAAGCTACGTGAGAAGAAGAAGAAGAAGAAGAAGAGTTTGGACTTGATATCCCGCCTTTCACTCCCTTTAAGGAGTCTCAAAGCGGCTAACATTCTCCTTTCCCTTCCTCCCCCACAACAAACACTCTGTGGGGTGAGTGGGGCTGAGAGACTTCAAAGAAGTGTGACTGGCCCAAGGTCACCCAGCAGCTGCATGTGGAGGAGTGGAGACGCGAACCCGGTTCCCCAGATTAGGAGTCTACCGCTCTTAACCACTACACCACACTGGCTCTCGAGTTAAATTCATGGTGGGGTTGTGACCACAGTCCTCCCTTGACCCTGAAAGTTTGGTGTGCAGGTGATCGGAACTCAAGATTCTCTCTAACCTAGAACAGGCAGCAGCTTAAAGTTGCAAAAAAAACCCAACCCCTTACCTGAACCAAAGCCCCCACCCCAAAAGGAAAAGCCAGAATCATACCCATGCTTTTAAGTTGCTTTGGGTTGCCCTGTGCAAAATAAAGTGACTAATGAATGTAATAAAAGAAAAAGAATAAAATACCTCCAGAATAGCAGAATCCTCATACAGGTCTGGAATGGCCTGCAGCAGGTGTCTCCATATCTTGATGTCATTCAGAACAACAGTCATTCCTCCACCTGTTAGAGGGTGCCTCATGTTGTAAGCGTCACCCAGAAGGAGGACTCCTACGTAAAAAAAGAAGGAAACAACCTCTAAAATCAACCACTGTTGTATAGATGCAGGATCCTGGCATTCATTCTAAACTTTTGCACACTTTGGGGTTGGCAGGTGCTGCTATCTTTCCTAGCAATCTCTAGATTGCTTCATGGCTCTACTGAATGAAGTGGCATCATCGTAATGCTAAACAGATTCCAACCCTGCCCTCTAATCCCTGGGGCCGAGGGACCATGGAAGGTGCCAGCAAATGGTGCCTGCTGGGTTTCTGGGCACTGAAGGTATAGAAAATAGAAGCATGATTGCACTAAGCACTTAGAGGGGCAGGTGCAGGGGCATTCAGCCCTGAGCTTGAGGTTTACCGCCTCTGTCTTAAAGTCTGAGGAACAACCCCTTTGTTTTCAAAGGCTGAAATCCAAAGAACTATCCCACACCTGACAGGTTTAGGCTTGTGTTTTGCACCCTATTTGAAAGGGAAAAGTCTTTCCAAAGAAGTTTGGTGATACGGCATTGGTGGATGGGATTCTGTGCTGTTCAAAGCGAGGGGGAACAAAACCCCCACTGGGCACGCCCCCACCCTTGGATGGGCAGACCCTTAAGCCTTTCAGCTTTCAATTCACTCTTCTGCTCACAGACCTGATTTGTTTACAGGGGACGGAGGCAGAAAGCTTGCTGGCATGGTCCTCATGCGATCATTCTGCACAGCTATTACGAAAGGCTCCTGTAAGTGCGCTGCAAAAAGAAAAAATGCAAAAGTTCAGTCATTTACAGAACATTCAATCTTTTCATCAAGATTCAGAAGAGAGACATCATTAATACCTAGCTCCAACCTGTCCCCCCAAAAGTGATTAGAAAACTGAGACAAGTTGTTAGCTCTCCTGCAGAACTCCGGAGACCTAAAGATAAATCCACTCTGGGGGTGGGGGTGGGGGATCACTTAGAAGTCAATCTGTTGGGATTTCTTTCAAAATTATTGGCACCAACATGAGAAAACATTATGGAAAGTGTAAGGTGTCCTAATGCCAAATACAAGTGAAGTATTGCAGATCTCAAAATGCTTGTTAAAACTAGACTGTTTTGGATAAATAAGGATGTGGGTGGAGCAGGAATCAGAGAGCAACAAGCAATACATGTGAAAAGGATCTAGGGGTCTTAGCAGACCATAAGCTTAACATGAGTCAACAGTATGATGCAGCAGCAAAAAAACCTAATGCTATTCTAGGCTGCAACGATAGAAGTACAGTCATACCTTGGATCCCAAATGCCTTGCGACTCGAACGTTTTGGCTCCTGAACGCCACAAACCCAGAAGTGAGTGTTCCGGTTTGTGAATGTTCTTTGGAACCTGAACGTCTGACGTGGCTTCTGCAGCTTCTAATTCAGTGCAGGATGCTCCTGCAGCCAATCAGAAGCTGCGCCTTGGTTGTCAAACGTTTTCGGAAGTCAAACAGACTTCTGGAATGAATTCCGTTTGACAACCAAGGTACGACTGTATAGTGTCCAGATCAATTATGAGATGATGGGAGTTGCTGTTCAGCAACATCTGAATGGCCAAATATTCCCCACATCTGATTTATTATTATTATTATTATCAGTAGTAATAGTAATAGTAGTAGTAGTAGTAGTAGTAGTGTATCAGGAATATCTTCTGCACACATCTGACTGAAATGATGGGGTGTTGTTCAAAAGCACATCTGTGAAACCCAGATATTCACTGGCAACTTGAAACAAACAGCCTCAATACTGAAGTACAGGAATCTATTCCCAGTACAAAACAGTCAGGTCAGGTAAAGAGACCCACAGCTAAAAAGTTGCAGTTTGCCATTGACAGAGCAAAGACATTTTTAACAGGTGAAGGTGAAACTCCATCAGACTCTTGCCCAAGAAAAAAATTCTTCCTGGTTCTGAAGACACCCTTGCTGTAAAAAGCAAAACCAGCCTTTCAAGTTTTCTTCACAAACATACAACTTTTCAAATTACCATTTCTGGCTAGTCCCACAGCCTGCTCAATTCCCCTCTCATTCCCTCAGGGGCTCACTGCTCCAGGTACCCAAAGGTGCTCTAAGAAACTCCCAAACTGAGACAGCACAACTTGAGGCCACCCACCAGCAACACCTACACTAGGAAAATGCCACATTTCCAGTATATCACCTGGGGGAAGCTGTTGTGCAAGATTTCCTGGAAGTCATTATAAGGAGGAAGATAGCGATGCCCTCATGACCGTAACAATGAACTGGTCAAATGTGGCTTTACACCAGCTATTTATCCTTGTGAATGTGTGACCACTGAGGGTAAGTGACGAAGAAACTTGAGATTCTGCCCCTGTGCCTCTATGAAATCAGGCATACTTCAGGCATGCCCAATTCCAAGTCCATCATTGACCATGGACAGGATGTAAAAGGCTACCAACATAGGCACTTACACTGCAAAGGGCTATTTTCCACCATCCTCTCCCAGTCACAGCTACCTTTCAACCAAGTCTAGAAACATGAATATTTGCAAAAGATAATGCTCCTTGAAGCTTCAACTCTGAGTGCATGTTAATCACAGTTTAGACATTTAAAGTTTATTTCTTCAATGACGAGGCAATTCTGCATCAAATGAGAGTTGATGCAAACACTTAAGTAGATGGTTTCTTTCACAGTATTGACAACCTGTGCACATAATGCTTACCAGGTAGTTGTGGATAAATCCGTTCAACCATGTATTCTTTAAGGTTCTTTGGCATTTCACCTCGAATGTCAACAAGGACTCTGGTTTCATTGGAAGAAATCTGGTAGAAAAGTACTGGACTAGGATTACCCAGAACAATCTCAGAATGGTTGGCTTTAAACTGAGGTGAATCCTTTACAGTGAAAGAAAGAGAAAAAGTTATTAAAAGTGCCTTCCGACTTACATTTATCAATACATCCCTGGTTGGCCATGAATTCACTGGCCAGTTTTCAACAAACTACTAGTACAGATGCTCATTTCCCAATCTGTAAAATGTTAGCAACAGTGACCACATTTGGACAACCATTCCTCAGCTTGTATGATCCTGGTGCCCTCTTACATTTAACTAATTTCTCCCTTTGCACAAGTCAGAAAACAAACAAGGAAGTCTTCAGTTAGCTATCATTTCTTGTTCCATACAAAGTGGGAAACCATAGTTAACAGAATCTTCTTCTTGGCGATCACTCGTGGCTGTGGAGGCCATGGTCTGATTTTGGCTTTATATCCTGGCTTGTACCAAAAGCATTAATCTAGAGTTTCTTGTTTCTGACAGAGAAGGAAACAAGAGTTAAATGAATCCTTCCCAGCTTGCTCACTTGCTTGTGTGAAGGGTCAAGTGAAGTGGCTGAGTGCTATTTATACGCTGGCTTACTAAACTACAACTCTCTGGTCATGGTCAATAACTAACATCAGAAGCTGTTGTGAAGATGGATGAAATATGGATGGATAATGACAGGATTTAATAACGACAGAAGTATGACAACATTAGCAATTTAAATGGGACAACTTTGAAATATGCACCTTGATCACTGTAACATTTCCTCTTTAAGCATCTGTGCCCAGCCCCAAATACAGCAGCCAATGAGGTTCACAGCAAGGTCAAGCGCCAAAAGAGCAGACAATATGCAAAGGAATTGGGTGGAAGATCCGGAGAAGAACTGGGTGCTGGGGTTGAGACAGGCTGCTTTAGATTTCCCAGCAGTGCACCCAAGGGAAGCCTACGTGTTCCGTTGGGCCTGCCCTCTGGGAAAGGCCTGCCTCCCAGCCCACCTGCTATTGGTCGATTCTGCAGGCAGGCTTGAATCTGAAGCCCTGGCCAGCAAGGCAAGCAGCTGTGCCTCCCCACTGGCCATGTTATCTGAAGCCCCACACCCAGGATTCAACCCTGGTTTACAATGATGGCCCACAATGCCACCACACCATAGATGGTAAGCAGACTAACTGTAAGCTTAGTTGTTGTTGTTTTTAAAAAGTAACACTTACTTTCAAAATTAACCCCACAAAATGAGATGGAACTCTAACTTTGTTGGAGATAAGTTGTTTTCTAAACTTGGAAAAGACACCATCAGCAATAACAGTAAGGGGTGCACGGAGCTCCTGCAATGGGAAAGGATGAAAGAAAAAGCAATAAACATGATAAATAGTGTCATATAGTACAGTAACCCCTTAAGCAAGTCTATATTCACAGAAGTTTCATTCTCATTTGAAAGTCTGTCAGAGTTCTCAAAAGGAAATGGCACCATATCTCTGAGCAGCAGCTTGTGATGCTCTTCCTTAACATCAACAACACACACACACACACACACACACACACACAGTTAAAACAATTGCATATATAAAAACAATCTAAAAAACAGTTATAAATATAAAAAATAGAACAGCAGCACATATATAAAATCAATTTCAATTCAGGACAGATGCCAACTGGGATAAAGATTTTAGAAGGCTTTTTGAAAGAGGAACACCACTAGCGGGCACCGAAAACGACACCTGTCTGATCTGCAATGGGAGGGAGTTCCAAAGGATAGTGTTTGTTGCCTTACCAAAGGCCTGATTCTGAAATAATATGCAACAGACCACCAGACTGGGTGGTATTTGCAGAAGACCCTCTCCTGCAGAATGCAATGATTGATTTGATGTATAGAAGATGATATGAACTTTTAGGTATCCTTAGCATACTGTATATCTAAGGGTAAAAAGGTAAAGGACCCCTGAACGGTTAAGTCCAGTCAAAGGCGACTATGGGGTTGCAGCGCTCATCTCGCTTTCAGGCCAAGGGAGCCGGCGTTTGTCCACAGACAGCTTTCCAGATCATGTGGCGAGCATGACTAAACCACTTCTGGCACAACGCAACACCGTGATGGAAACCAGAGCGCACGGAAACAGTGTTTACCTTCCTGCCACAGTGGTACCTATTTATCTACTTGCACTGGCATGCTTTCAAACTGCTAGGTTGGAAGGATCTGGGACAGAGCAACGGGAGCTCACTCCGTCACAGGGATTCAAACCGCCGACCTTCTGATCGGCAAGCCCAAGAGGCTCAGCGGTTTTGACGACAGCGCCACCCACGTAGCATATATCTATTGAGGCAGCAGTCAGACTATGTTTTTTTTCTTTCTGCTTTGGCCCTTAAGAAATAACCTTATGACTTTGAAGGGCAATGCTACAAAACATAATTTTCCTGTAAATATACTTTGTAGTCTGTAGACTAGATATGTATTTATGCCATGGGAGGAGAGAACTGAAAACAGAAAACAGATAAATAGTAATAATACTGTCATATAATTTGGCCCTGTGTTTTTAACCACGCTCATTGTGCTAATTTACCTGTTGGGTTACCTTAATTGTTTCCTGCTTTAATTTGACAGAGGATTACTGTGCACCAAAACAACCTAGAATATTTTCCTGTAAAAATATATATGTCTATTGAGCCTCACCTTTGTAGCACCAGTTTCTTTATCTTTGAACAAAATTCCAACAACACGTTCATCTTCTTCAAGCAGCTGAGTCACTGTTCCTTCAATGAATTTTGTACTGGAAGAAAGCAGTTTGTTTATTTGTTTTAATGCACACAATATCCATGGTTCATATTCCATAATACAGTAAGCTAAGCACATTTCCATCTAAAATATACACTACTAACTTTAATAGGTAGAACCATTCCCCTGAACAGAACCAACTGCACAGGTTGTCTTCCTACTCCTGGGGAGAAAATAGACCCGTATTTAAACAATGGCCTTAAACCAGGGGCAGGCAACCTAAGGCCCGGGGGCCGGATGTGGCCCAATCACCTTCTCAATCCTGCACACAGATGGTCCAGGAATCAGCGTGTTTTTACATGAGTAGAATGTGTCCTTTTATTTAAAATGCATCTCTGGGTTATTTGTGGGACATAGGAATTCATTCATTCCCCCCCCCCGCCAAAAAAAAGTATAGTCTGGCCCACCACATGGACTGAGGGACGGTGGACCGGCCCACGGCTGAAAAAGGTTGCTGACCCCTGCCTTAAACCATGGTACAATTGTGAACAAGCTTCTCCCATACCTCATAGATCTCTTGCAGCTTCTTCTCGCCTGCATGGAACCTGCATGGCTCAAACAAGCCATGCTATGATTTGCCATGTTGTCTGAACCAGGACTGTGGCTTGCATGAGCAGTTGGCAAGAAATTAACCAAACTTTTCTTATAAACCAATTGGATATCACCCCATGAGAGAGCTGTGGGACGCAGTTAATGATAAGCCCTAGTTTACCTTAAACCATTCTTTAATTTTCTTCCAAAAAAAAGCAAGAACTGACTAAGATAGAAAATAAAATCACATTATAACACTAAAAATAAAAAACAAATTTAATAGCAGAATAAGCAACCATATCATTAAAACTAAAGCAACAGCAGATCAAACTAAGGGGTATTCAAGTCTCAATACATGAGGAGGAGAGAAGAAAAAACATTATAGCAGCCCACATCAGGTCAAAATTTGTTCAGTGCTGGAGTTAGGCAGGCCTGCCCAGGAAAGGCATTCCACAGGACAGGTATCACAACTGAGAAAGCCCTGCCCTATTCAGCTGGCAAGAGGTACCTGGAGAGAGCTTCAGAAGTAGGACAAACATGATGGAAAAAGTCAGTCCTCTCTAGGCAAGCTATTTAGAACTTTAAAAGGCAAGAATCAGCAACCAATTGATCATGGAAACAAATACATAGCCAGTGCAGACTGAATATAACTGGCATGGTTATGTTCTAGCTACCTTCCTCTAGGCAAGAATCTGGCGGCGGCAGTTTAAACTAAATGAAGTCTCTGAACTCTACTCAACAGTAGTCCCACACAGAATGCATTGCAATAATACAGCATGGAAGTTATTAAAACACGAATGGCTGTGGCTATCTAGCATAGTGACTATTAAAGGTAAAGGTAAAAGTACCCCTGCCCGTACGGGCCAGTCGTGTCCGACTCTAGGGTTGTGCGCTCATCTCACTTAAGAGGCCGGGAGCCAGCGCTGTCCGGAGACACTTCCGGGTCACGTGGCCAGCGTGACAAAGCTGCTCTGGCGAGCCAGCACCAGCGCAGCACACGGAAACGCCGTTTACCTTCCCGCTATAAAGCGGTACCTATTTATTGACTTGCACTTAGGGGTGCTTTCGAACTGCTAGGTGGGCAGGAGCTGGGACCGAAAGACGGGAGCTCACCCCGCCGCGGGGATTTGAACCGCCGACCATACGATCGGCAAGTCCTAGGCACTGAGGTTTTACCCACAGCGCCACCCGCGTCCCGTCATAGTGACTATTAGAAATGCATTATTTCATACTATGGATTTGTTATGCAGCACACGTGCCAATAAGGTTGGCCACCACCAAGCCACAGGATCTGATATATTCTCTCCTGATCCTTTCTGCAATACTGACTCAGGAAATCTTGCCAATAGCCAACCCAGAGGATTGAACAGTTCATGATTCAATATATGTGCTGTGGGTATGAAGGTAGGTGGGGTATATAAAACTGAATACTCATCACAATGTTTATCCCTTCTCATAAATGTATTTTAAGGGTGAAAGATTACTTTAAAATGAGTTTTTAATCTGATATTTTTAGGGCTGCATGTGCTGTATTTCTAATTTCTCTCTCTTCACTAAAAAGCAGATGCAGAGAGGATTGAGACTGGGGCTGAAATATGGAAATAAGAGGATTAACTCTTTAACTCTGCACCATGGTCCTGATCAAAATTCCATCCCATCCACCCAAAGCTATGAGCCATGAAAGGGAAACAGAAGCATAACATGAGACAGCCTGTATACATTCTCATACAGAGCTAATGGCAGCCCCATGAGTCATCTGCATCAGGGCGTCAATACAGAGGAAAGAGTTGAACCCTTTTCCTCTTGCCATAGCCCTGACCTAAATCACTTCCTGCAGCTCCTATTAGCAATTAGAACAAAGAATACATCATGTATAGTTTGACCATGGTACAGTAAAATCAAACCAGGACATTTTGCAAATTAGTGGAAATGCAACTTTCAAGCAGCAGTTCCGTTCAAGTGGGAGGGAGCTACGTGACCTAACCATACTTCTATTCGGATACATGTATATTTCATTTTGCTTCAAGGAGTGAAAACACCTCAGTTTCCAGTTTCCTGGTGTCGCTATTGCACAACCAGAGACGGTATCTAGTTGCACCTCTACTTACATAAATATACTGATGCCCAGTTACTCAACAGACTCTGGGCTAGTTACAATCAATTTTAAAAACTAGAAACACTATTAAATAGACTTAGTAGTTTTCTAAGCAATTCAGACTTCAAAGGAAGCTTAACCATGGTTTAGAATAGGAGCAGGCAACTCTGGCCCTGCCTGTTGTTCTCTTATAACCTCTAAATACTGGTCATCCTGACTGGGGCTGATAGGAATTGTAGTCCAGCAATACCTGGAAGACAATAGGTTCCCCATTCCTGATTTAGAATATTGTCTGAATTGATAAACCATAGCTTGCAATTGGCTGGAAAGTGAGAACTGGAAAACATGGCTTTAATTTTTAATCAAAATGCTTGCTGTGATATTATTATTTTTAATTATTCGGTAGGTGCTGGAAGTTGAGTAGGGAGGGTGCCTATCTGACCTCAAGTGGAAGTTCCAGTTTATTTTCTTTCAAGTGCCCAAAATGACTAAAGGTAAGCATGCCTGTTTGGGTGGTGCAGTAAAACATGTCTGTGGCTGAGTTGATTTGAGGAATTACTCGCATGACTGTATAAGCACCAATGCACTGCTGATGGCTGGGATGCTACTTCCAGTTGATATCAGACCACAAAGGTGTTATTCAAGTGATATAAAAGGAAAAACAAAATAAACAAAAAATAAAAAATAAATTCAACAAGATGGAAGGATGCACTTAGTACATCAGTCAGGCCTAGAACTGCTCATTCAGTAGATGCCTTATTATTTTAAGTTGCCATTCTTACTTGGGTTCTGCCATGGCTGTCCTTCGGAGACCCATGATGAAACGCCCATGATGAAACGCTATTCCACTCTGTATCTGGCCATCCGTTTTGGCAGGGAAAGGAATTTCAACTTCTGATTTACTTTCTAGGTCATGAAGTACATAGCCGTTTATCGCGTGAGCATCAATCCCTTCCACAACCTCTGCAAAATAAATGTCAATACATTAGGGAAAGTGCAGTTGAGGGCAGTATATGAGAAGGATATATATCAAGTTGCCTCAAGAACATACATTTAGATCAAGCATTTATTATGTTATACGCACTAGGAATATGCAATGGAAATTCTCCACAACCATGAAAAGATATTTTGAACATTCTTCAGAATCTTAGAATCTAAGAATTTAAGCTGAATTCAGCCAATAAACCATGTATTATGTCCTTCTAGATGTTCAACAACTACCCTGTTTTCTACAGTCCCTGATAAGCAGCAAAAACAAGGGGTTTACCGAGTCCCTGGTAGGTCGTATATGAATCATATATGGCTTCATTCAGTTTCATAGGTCTCATGTACATTACTGACAGAATTAAACAATAGTGACAGAAGAATTTTGTAATGTGGAAAGAAATGGAAACTCGTGCACCCCCACTCCTGTCAGAAGTCACCCCAAATCAAGGAGAGGCTAGATTCTAATTTCAGCCTATAGGCCAACATATATAGAGAGGTTTTTTTTGGTATTATGATATTATAAAAGGCATAGATGGAAGGCAAGGATCAGGCTACCCAGCAAATTAAATAAACAAAGTGGGGCAACAAGCACATCAGAACAATGAGGCAGGATTTGTGATTTGCTAACATACCTCCCAGGCCCAGGTCTTTCAGAGCATTATATCCCCCTGGTTGCAGCAGTTCTCCAACTATCCTGTCAGGTTCCTTCAGATCCCTCTCAATTACTGTCACTTTTCTTCCATCCCTTGCCAGTACTGCTGCCAAAGCAGAGCCAAGCACACCGGATCCCACAATGATAACTTCGGGATCACACGGAGGGTTGAGATTTGAACCCGTAGTTGTCTCAATTGTGCTCTCAGGTGAGGTACCAACTTCCCTTCTATCCTGCGTAAAGATGAAGCCATAAGCAAAGCAAAACAAATGCATTTTAGGCTATTGTGATTACCATTTACTTCAAGGACTTGGGCTGACAAATGTCACAAAAGCACAGCATATTGAGGGAGAGAATTCTGTACATGATATATACATAGAGGAACGTGAGCTACATATAATGCTCTTGGATGAAACTGATTATCTTCACTCATTCCAGTACAAGTTCAGGTTCTGTGACAGAATCAGCCTTGGGTGCCCCGGTGGATTATCTTCTTTAGGAAAGGAATGGAGGAATGAGAACTTGCTGATTCCCCTGGATCTCTCAGCGACCTTTGATACGGATGGCCACAGTATCTTCCTGGACCACTCCTGGATGACCTCAATGAATTGGCTACAATCATTAACATACCAAATCCCATTGAACACAGTAGGAATTACCATAGTGCCAAGAAACCATGCACAGAATTGCACTTGTAGTTCATTTACATTATGTGCTCCTCAAAATGGCAAGGAAGGATGTTGTTTCTTACCTACATATGCTAGATATAGGACAGATACCCTCTCCCTAGAAAGCTACGAGGGGAAGGGGAATCTGAAATCCTAGGAATGTATTACAAAGGAGCTAATGTTTGAGAATTTCAAATAACTGTTATTAAAATCTCTTATCAAGCTACATAGTTCTGAGTGTTGAGCTTGATTGAATACAAAACCGATGGAAGCTGTTGCAATTTCCCAAAAACTGAACGTTCTAGATCCCTCTCCCCCAGTTTGGGAAGTGCTGGCTTAAGTAGATTTCCATCACCATTCAGGAACACAAACCTGCAATCTGATTTTCAAAAAGAAATTCCCCCTTCAGAAATCCCCAGTATTAAAAACAAATTTCTCTGAAAGGTGCAAGATGATTGTTTTAAAACATAGGAAAGAGATCTCAGTCCTGGGTTGTCATGCTAAGAGCCAACATACCTCTTTGGATTTCGGTTTCAACACCTTTGGAGAGCCTGCGTGGAATTTAGTCCAGAAAAAACCAAGGAGAGGCACAGCGGCAAGAAAATTAGAGAGCATTCCACAATGGGGTTGCCTGTGCTTCTGTTGCTTTAGTCCCCATGTCCGGTACCGATAGGACAGCAGCAAACCAATAAAGAACACCAGCATGGAAATCAGGACCTCCTTGTTGGCATAATTCAGCAAATCTCCACATTTCTTATAGACATAGATGAAAGAGGCAATGCCCAGAAAAGTCCACATTGTGGAAGAAGGGTGTGCTCTCTCACAATCACTGCTGGATTCCCCCCTTTTCAAGTTTGATTCTGAATAAAGTTCCTTGAACAGGGCTACACACACCCCGTACAAATTGCGTTACGAAATTACAAAGATCCTCATTTCAAACCAAAGGAGGAGAATTAAAAAACTGTACTACAAATCCAAAAAGGTAAAAAAGAAAAATGCCAAGAAATTTAATACAAAACCTCTGTGGTCACAAAAAGCAGTTCCTCGGCTTAGGCACCAGGCAGGAAAACATAGTGGATTTGCAGCTCCACCTATCGCCACCCGCTATTTCTAGGGTCAACATGTTCCTAGAAATTGCATTGTTCATTTAAATTTCTTCAGCCATCTGCTGGTTTCTGCCAGGACACGTATTTTAAGGCTCTTGACCCTTCAGTCAGCAGGAATACCTAAACAAACAAACAAACAAATACCCGGGAAGGTATTGCGTGTGTTTTAAAAATGCAAAATGTCACAATCCAACAAGGGAATCGGAAGTGTATCTCTGGGTCCTGTGCTCCTTTCCCTCCTGCTCCTTCGTAAGCGATTCTCGCTTCACCTGTGAACAAAACCCAAAAAGTTACTAAAGAGAGCGCGTGCCAGCCACCGCCATCCCTGCCAAAGTGGCTGGTGGGCTTTGCAGCTCGCACACCTGGTTGGCAGGAGAGCATGCCATCCTTGATAAAGGTGTGGAAATTTAATTCACAAGAATGAAGAACTGAAACGCATACATACATGAAAACCGGGGGGTTCTTTAAAAAAAATATTAAAAAATGCGAGGGCTGCTTCTCTTTCCCTCAGCGACCCTGACAGGATTTTTCTGACAGGAAAAGGGCTCGTTCCTTTCGCCTCCTCCTAGATCCGCGGATGGCGGAGCTGTGCCGCCCTCAGCCCCAAGCTCCTCCGGGAAAGAGACCTGGGCTGTTGGTCCTGTTTGATGGCCTCTCCTCCTCCACCACCTCAAGGAAATGGCTCGCTTATCTTCTCTGCCATCGTCTCCTCACGGCCGCTCGCCTCCGCCCTCGCCGTGCAAAAGGCTCGCTTGGCGACCAAGGATGCTCTGAGCAGGTGAGGAGAGCGGAGGCAGGCGGGAGCGAGGCCACGAGAGAAGAGGGCGGGGTTATGCTAATAGCCGGCTGCCGGCTCAACTCCTGCCTTCGCCTCGCGCTTTCCACGGCCCAGCCCCTCTTGGCCAATCCGCCGCGCTAAGACGAGATGGTGCTATGGCGCTCGGGCCAATGGGAAGCGGCGGCGGGCGGGGTTTAGCGTCCCGCCGGAGCCTAGTGCGATGTGACGTGAGGCGCGAGAGGTTCGGCGTTCGCGGATAGGCGGAGAGAGGAAAGAGGGGTGGGAGGGGGGAAATGAGGTGTTTGCCGTTGCCATGGAGCCGAATAGGGAGAGCGAAGCTGGACAGCGTCCCTAGCTGAGACGGAAAGTGTGGGTAAGAGGTTCAACGGGCGTCTGGGAAAGGCTTCAGGGTGCTTACTGCGCAAGTGTTTGGAGCATGCGCAGTGCGGAAGAGTGGGCCTCCTGCCCTCTCGCTGGCACTGTGATCGCAACGCTGAGGGGAACGTGCCTGAGGAACTGAAGTGGGGAGGGAGGGCGTGCGCCGCGCGGCAGAATAAAGAGTTTTTTGTTTTTTACATTTAAGCCACGGCCTGTGCTCCTGAGCATGTGCAGAGTGCCCTTTGCACCACCGCCACAGAATAACTCGCAGGCCATTCGGCACTGAGGAGAAGGAAGAAACTGACACGGCCCGGCTTACTTCTGTAGTCCAGTACCACTTGGTTCCTCGCTTTTAAAATACGTAAAAGATGAGGGGCAGAATAAAAACTTAACGGACGGCGAAGCTTTTAAATAACAACGAAGAGGCGGGGCCGTGCTGCTCAACCAATCGCAAGGCCGGGCGAGGAGCGCCTGACGTCACGGCGTCGCCGAGAGGACGTCGAACGACCGCGCGCCTCCGCCTGGGCCGAGGTTCCGTTGCCATGGCGACCGCGCGGCGCTTGGGACCGGGGCGGCTGGCGCAGGAGGCCGCCGCGCTCGCTGCCGTCGTCCAGGGCTCCGTGGGGCCTCGAGGAGGGCACGTGCTGCTCACCCGCCCCACGGGGGAAGTGCTGCTTTCCAGGGACGGGCGGCGCGTGCTGGAGGCCTTGAACGTTGAGTCGCCCACGGCCCGGTAATCGACGGTCCCCGCTCCGCCCTTCCTCCTCACGAGCAGTTCCGTGGTCTAGGCCGCGTCGAACGACCGCGTGAAGGACTCGAGCGGGCCCCCTCTCTGGGGTTTCGGGGAGGGCCATGGGCTTAGCCAGGGCGGCGGCCGCCCCGCCTAAATCAAGGAAATAAAGGGGAAATGCTTAAAGTAGAAATGGTGAAAGTTTTTGACAGGTTTTCTGAGCGCTTGGGGGTGTCAAAAGAAGTAATTCGAAGCAACTGTGGTTGACACATTGCATTCCGAATCTGGTAGACAGATCCAGACACGGGATGGTGTCAGCTGGGTGTCCTGCCTCCCCCCCCAAAAAAACCCCCCATAAATCCTGGCTACACCCAGGAGGAGGAGGAGGAGACAGTGTGGACTGCAAATTTTCCACATCGACCACATCACCTGTTTTTAAGGTTTTCGTTTAAATTTTTAGCACTTCAGAAGATGCTGCTCAGGGATCTCCCGTGCCCTGTCTAGCATTGCTCCTCAACATATCGTTGTGAAATTTAGCTCTGTCTCACCACGACTTGCAACTTAGGTGCGCATGCTATTATTATTATTAGTTGCCGGCCCACTCATGAAAGCAATGAACAGGGTGGTGATACAATGACTACTGCAATCAACACAAGATTTTTTATATATTCATTTTTCCATGTTCTTTTTATTTTATTTTTTATTTGGTTTGGTTTTTCAAATGACAGTTTTACAATCACATACCCAACATACAACATAAACAAGATTCCAAAGAATCTCCTGAACTTCCCTCCTCCCCTTTGTGGGTCCTATTGTTAGTCTTTTCCTCGTGCATCTTTTCTAATAATCCAAATCTTTTACATCTCCATTATATCAAAAAAATCACCATTAAACTACAAGTGTTCTTCCAATCCTACTAACAATTTTAACTGTTTACAATGGTTTTTAAGATAAATTATAAATTTTCCTTGACACAAGTTCTTATTACCAAGGCAGCTATCTGTAAACAAACAATAAATGTCCATAAAATGGCAAAAGTAGTTTCTTTCCCAAATAGGTTTTATCTTAAACAGTAGCAAACATGGTAAATAAAGAGTTCACTTGTAAAACAGTGCTCATTTCTTCTCTTTCCAAAATAGATTTTATCTTGAACCATTGCGTAATAGAGAGTCCACTTGTGATATACCAGTGGTTCAGTGCTTCGATGTCGTTACATAATCCAACGTTTCATCACTAAAGCGCTTAGTTATCGAGTTTTGTAATAAATAATATGCAAGAGAAGATGGTATGTAAACAACTTAAAGCAGGGGTGTATCTGTCCCCATCTGCATGTTTCCATTGGGAGGAGTATTGTCCTTCAGTTTGTTAAACCTTCTCCTTTCCAGCTGGATACTGGTGCCCCTGTGACTGCCCTTCACCCTAAGATCCCAGGGCAGGTTACACCAATTGAAATCTAATGCTAAAAAAAGCTTACAATCATAGAAATAAGGTGGGCCCTAAAAATGTACATCTCAAGTGTCAAAGGGGTACCCTTGATGGCTGCTCCATCCAGATAGCTCAGAGAGCCATAATCTATGACTTCCCTCACAAAGGCATCATTTATTTCAGTTGTTATTATCCCATGTTTATCATGGTCAAAAACACAAGAAGTCACATGCCCATCCACCTTATCTCCTAAACTGAAAGGCAGCATTTTCTCATAGGGGAGTTTCTCGAGACCCTTAATCGCTTTTGCTGCTGTTTAGTGCACATTTTCCACCAACGTCTTTTTTAAGGCATAGTGAACATAGAAACCATGACCTCCACACTGAGGCAGTTTCACAGAAATATTGCCCCCCTCACAGCCTCATAGTTGCCAGTGGCCCATGTATGGAATCTGCCCACAACCATTGTGTTTTCAATGTCTTAGTACAGATAACTCGCATCTCAGGAAGGTTGTAATGTATGATGTTTCGTTGTGTTTTTATTGGAAGGTGCTCAGTCACAATCTGGGTGGGTGGAATAAATAAATAAAAATGGAAACCCTCTGTTCCCCACTTTCCATTTATTTATTTCCTGCACACCCAGCTGGTTTTCCTTGTTTCAGGCTCTGGGAAGGTCCATGGGAGGGCCCTGGGAATCTCCCAAAGCCTTCTCCCAGAGGCTGGTAAGCAACGAAGCACCTTAATAGCTTCTGGGAAGGATGTGTGGGAGCTCTCAAAGTGTCCCAGAGGCCCATAAGAAAGGCTGTGCCTTGCTTACCAAAGTCTGGGAATGTTGAGTGAGGGCCCTGGGAGCTAGACCCTCTTGCCACCTTCCCAAAGCCCAGTAAGCAGCCCCCTGACTTGGCGCAATTTTGCGTTTAAAATCAGATCCCTGGAACCAAACTCTCACTTAGGTTGCAAGTTACTTGTATATTGGGATCTTACATAGAAACTGTCTGTATTTTTGTTTTTCTGCTGTAGACTTGTAGAAAAGAAATAATTCATGTAGAGATATTTCAAATATAGTAAGTTCGCAGTCTACGCAGGGGTTACATTCCAGGGATCACGCCTAAAGCCAAAATCATGTATAGTCAAAACACATTGGGTTCAGTCTTGGGTTGGATTGCCAGAGTCATTTTTCCTGGAATTCCACCCCCTTTCTGCTCATATGTATGTATGTATGTATGTATGTATTGTCATGCGCATAGAGCTGAATGTGCACAAGTTAAATGCACATAAGTTGTGGGCTTACTTTAAACCATTTGTTTCTCCTTGGCTTTTAACAGAATGATGATTTCATGCATTTCCACGCATTGCAATTTGACTGGGGATGGTGCTAAAACGTTCATCATAATTCTCTCCGTTTTACTTCAAGAACTTGAACAACTTGTTAAAGGAGGTAGTCCTTCCTGTTATGAGAAGATCCAAGGAAGAGAGAATTGTAAAGAAAAAATTTACAGACTGAAACATGTTTCCCAGCTTCTTATAATGATCCAGATGGACATTCTAGATTACATAGTGACAAGAGACCTTGAAAAGCATTTTCATTCAGTATTTTCTGTTTCTGATGAAGAAATAAGTATGAGCACAATAGGGTTGGTACTGGAAGCTTATTTTTCTGGGAAAGTAGGAATCAATAGACAAAAGTTTCTTTCCCAGTTAAGCTGTGATTTCTACTTCAGAGTTACTGCTGGTAAAAATAGGAGTGAAGTCCTGTGCTTTGTGGATGACTGTTTTGCTGAGTTGCATACTACTGTGACAGGCCTTCCTGTTTCAAGTTCAAGAATCCTTGATGGGCTTATTCTTCACAGAGACTTTGCTGTGTACTGTCCTGCAGACGGTGACAAAAGAGTTCTAGTTATAACAGAACCTATCCAGCCTGCTTATTCTGACTTGGGTGCTGAAGTTGTCGTAACTGCTGAAAATCAACATGGGGCATCTAAAACCTGGATTACAAAAAGAACAGAAGCTGTTCTAAAGCACATGCAGGACAATGACATCAAGGTTATATTGTCAAGTGTAAAACAACAGGAAGCTGTTCATAACTATGCAAAAAGCAGTGGCATATCTATTGTAGAGTGCCTGTCCCCAGAGGAGATATCTCTTATCTACAGGATCACAAATATTTCACCTTTTAAGCCATCTTTGGACAATATTCACACTGAAATCACAGAAGCCGCTGTTGCAAAATTTTGCCAGCCATTGTACCTTGGCACCAAAAGATTTGTCCATATAGGCTTTGAAAGGACATGTGCCCTTCAGCTCCACTGTGTGATTCTCTGTGGGCCAGTGCATGGGGTTACTGAGCAACATGTTTGTGCTTTTCATGGCGCGTTCAAAATGTTGCGACAGATGTTTACGGTTGTTTGTCTGACTGAGCAAAACCTCTCCGAAACACTGCATAATAGTCAGCAGTGTTCTGATGCACAGCAACATTTTGTAGAGAAGCACACTGACTGTGGTGAAGTTCACGCTTGTGCCAAGCAGCCAAGACCTTGTGGGTTTGAAATGGAAGAGGACTCTGTTGTTTCTGCTTCATCGGTAGACAGAGAGTTGGCATGTTCATCCATTCATCTGCCTAACTCGGGCGTAGATTTGGCGCATGATGCCATGTGCTCAGAACTACGTGAATGTGAACGTGATTTAGTTGACGTGCAAAAGGTGTCTCAGAAACGCAGTCATCCAAAAGGAATGTTGAGAATGGACGGGAATGAATCACTTGCGAAAAATCAGCTTGCTCCTACCAGAGCAGAGAGAAGCATCAGTTCCAGAAATGTACTTGTGCATCCGCAACCCACTGAGGACAGTTGTACCAGGCAAGGCCGTGGCGTTAAAGAAGCGGATAATATCAGAAGCCATATTCAGAGTAATTCCAGTTCTTACCTAAAGGAGGGATCAGTTTTGCCAGTCGGTGGGATATTCGAGATACTGTTACATTACTACCTGTCCTGCTATGCAAAGCGGTGCCAGTCAGCAAACGTATCCATTCTTTGTGCTGTAATTGCTGATGCATTGCTCAGTGTTCCAAAAACCCTCTCTAGGGCACAGAAAAGGGATGCTTTTCCTCAGCTCTATCTTGAAGTTACCAGCGCTGTCAGAAATAATCGACCGCTTCTGCCAAATCAAGAAAGGTTAGAATCAGTGTCCTGTAAGTACCAATTAGTGGCTTCCATTCTTCAATGTGCAGCTAGGCTTTTAAGTATTGATCTTATTGTTGGCATTAAGAGGTTACCTCAGAAGACCGAAGAAAGCGATTCAGAAGCTGATCTGTGAATAAAGGGTTTTCATATGCATGTGATGCAGTTGCTAGAACCAGCTACGTCCTTTAGTCTTCTTTAGTCTAGGGTACTTCTATGCAGCCCCAGGACTGTTCAAATCCTAACAGAAAGGTAAAGAGAGGGGACATTGGCTGCAAATTTTCTTAAATCCCATAATGTATTTCTGGCCGATAGATTGGATGTAGATTTAGGCAAGGAATTGTGACACATTGAGGCTGCAATGCTAAAGTCACCTATCTAGGAGTAATTGAATTCGTTGGGACTTACTTGAGGGAGGTGCTTGGATAGGTGCCCCAATCCAAATTTTAGAGAGCTCATTTGGAAGGAAATACTGGCGATGATGAATGCTTTCTGGAAATGTTGGGGAAACTTGCTTCCGCACTACGTAGGTTGAGACTGATTTAGCATGTTTATCTGACTTAATAAACAAAACTTTAAAAGCATGCTATGTTAATTTTATGCCTTGTATAAATACCTCCCCAAAATTCCAATAGTCAAAAAATGGTTGAACTGAAATATTTGATCGGGGTGTGTGTGTGTAAAAGTCCGCTTAGTATAGTTTTAATGTTATATTCAGGTTCAAAATTTCACCTGGGAACTATTTGCATTGGAGTGGTTATATATTTTTTAAGATAAGACAATAGGATACACTTTGTGTACACTGTTTAAGGTTGTGTCCAGTGTTGTCTTCTATTAGCAAGGAACAGCTCCTCCCTAGAAACAGCTCCCCACACCCTGATCAAACTCAGGAGCCGAACAGATAGCCAAATGACTCAGCTATACAGCTGCAAATAAAATGTTTTAAGTGTGTTGTAAAGTGCATTATACAAATGTGGCACTAGATGGCGATTGTGAGCTATGGAAGATTCAATATATTTTTCAAAACGTTTTTTAAAAAATCATTTTCACAGCATTTTCATATGTGTCTAGATTTCACTAAAATCTGTGCCAAGGCTGCACCTCCAACCCCACCCACCAACCATTCTTTCCTCTGACCACTCTATACAACTGCCTTCTATTCTTATGCTGTTCTCCAAAACAGCAAGCAAACCCTTAACTAGTCCATGTTTGGTCAACTATCAAGTATTTATCACGTTGATCTCTTTATTCTAGGAGGGCAATGTGGTTATAAATACTTTGATGAAATTAAATGGATCTACTGCGGAGGTTTCCAGAATGACAAAGGTATGAAGCAAAACGTTCCCTCCAGTCTGTTTGGGTCATCTGCAAAGTGGTGGCCTGCTTTTGGGAACTGGCACTGAGAAACAAAGGCATGGATCGATTAAGATTTGAACTGGTATATTTGCATTTTACTTAAGCCCCGTTGGCTGATTAGATTAGGGCCAGGGCCTTTTCAGTACTGGCCCCGACTTGGTGGAATGCTCTTTCACAAGAGACTAGGGCCCTGTGGGACATCTTTCTGCAGGGCCTGCAAGACAGAGCTGTTCCGTCTGGCCCTTGGTTTGGACTCAGTCTGACCCTTATGTTTTCCCTTATGATCTATGGGCCACTTTTAAAATAACCTGAATTTTAAATTGCATTTTAACCTGTATTTTAAATTGGGTTGGTTTTTTCTCTCCCCCTATTATGATTTTACTGTAATTTTACTGGTGTTAGCCACCCTGAGCCTGGCTCTGGCCGGGGAGGACGGGGTATAAACAATTATTATTATTATTATTATTATTATTATTATTTACATATTACTTACTATACACTGATCTCACTGAAGACAACAGCATTCATCCAGCGCAACCAGTCCTTGGTTTGCTATCTTCAGCTGCAAATGATCTTGTACCAGCTCATCCAGTAGGAAAGGAAATGGGCTGTCTTCCTCCTACTTTCCTTTTTTTTTAGCACTACAGTAATTGAATGCCCAAAACACTTCAGACGTGTTATCTCAAAAATCCCCAAAGTCATTTTGAGAGGTATGACATATCTATTTCCTTATTACAAAATTTGTGGGGGTTAAAGAGAAAGTGGCCTGCCTAAGGCCATCTAGCAAATTCATGGACTTCCTGGTTTCTAGGTCAATATAGTACTTTCCTCTTAAGACCTAACGAGAATCTAGATGGAAAAGAAACACCTTGCACTGAGTACAGCAACTATGTAAGGTAAAAAGGTAAAGAACCCATGGATGGTTAAGTCCATTCGAAGGCGACTATGGGATTGCGGCATTCATCTTGCTTTCAGGCCAAGGGAGCCGGCGTTTGTCCACAGACAGCTTTCCAGGTCATGTGGCCAGCATGACTAAACCACTTTTGGCGCAACAAAACACCGTGACGGAAACCAGAGCACACAGAAACGCCGTTAAAAACGCCCTTCCCGCTGCAGCAGTACCTGCTTATCTACTTGCACTGGCATACTTTCAAACTGCTAGGTTGGCAGGAGCTGGGACAGAGCAAAAGGAGCTCACCCTGTCGTGGGGATTCAAACCGCCAACCTTCCAATTGGCAAGCCCAAGAGGCTCAGTGGTTTAGACCACAGCACCACCCACGTCCCTTTGAACTACGTAGCAGTAAATTATATGCCAAAGTGCTGATTGGCATGCTATTATTATGCCAAAGGGCTAATTGGCATGCTTTGATTTTGTGTGGAGGCCAGTTTCAGTTTTTCTGCAATAGTTTCTGTTACCACATGGCAAGGCCATGTTTTAAGTGCTCAAATTTTCTCCATGCCACCTAAATGTTTCGGGGCATTTAATGCAGTTGGGAGAAGGTTGGGCCTCATTGTGGGCTCATCTACACAGTTCAGCAATAGATTTAGAATATTCTCTGGGCACCTCCACAGTGGGGGTGAGGGTGAAGTTCAGGTTCATTGATGCAATAATACTTCATTAGTAATCATCCATCCAGCATTATGCATTTTGTGATCCTTCCCAGCGTTGCCACATTATTATCTGGATAGGCGTTATAGCGAAACAAATGCAGTGCAAAAGCCAACAACCCCAGAACGTTTGTGGAGGAAGAGATGGTACAAATTACAAATAACGAGACTGGAATCAATGTCTTCATTACAAAACTGAATGCAGTAATAAAAAGTATCCCACACTCTTACCATGTTGGAGCTGAAAGACAGTTCCTTTCCATCACTTTGTGCCTAAAAGAAGATGGGGGGGGGGAGAGATTGGGGAACTCCTTATGGGTGCTTGGACTGACTCACCTTGTTCCTACAGCCTTGGTCTTCCTATTGGGGGAGTGCTACCCTCTCCCCATTGGCACATCTGCATTTAAATGAACAAAACAATATTAAGAGCTCCAATAATGGATATCCAATGTTGTTTCTAGTTTGGGCAGAAACACTTCCATTGAGACTGGCGTAGAATAAAGCCACTTCTTTTCTTAGAACTGCAGAAAAACAAAAGACCCCCTGAGCAGGATCTCTCTGTTTACCATAACCCTAAGAGCCTCAGGGAAAGCTTTAGTCAAACTATCAAGGAAAGCTATATTACCGATTTCCCCCTCAATTTCACAATTTCTGGGGGTGGGGAGGCTTGTCCAGTATTGCAAAATGGCACCTTTTTTTTGGAAAACCCCATTTTTGGGAAGAGATTAATCTTTGTCATTGCCTCCCCTATTTTCATTGACACTGCTTCTGAGTGTGGAAATGTAGCATATGCTGTATCTTTCACTGGTATTCAGTTGCCTTTGACCTGCTTTAACACATTGCCTTCTGTTCCCATGTGAGCAGGTCCACCTAACAGTGGAGCATCCTTGTCTAAAATACAGCATGCCAACTCAACCACCATGGATTGTGGGCAGCAGCTGTCTCTCAGGTTCTCAGATTATTTTTTCATTGCAGAGACCGCTGTTGCAGTCACAAAACTAATTAACAACAATAATTATTATTTATACCCTGCCCATCTGGCTGGGTTTCCCCAGCCACTCTGGACGGCTCCCAACAGAATGTTAAAAACACAATAAAACATCAAACATTAAAAACTTCCCTAAACAGGGTTGCTTTCAGATGTACCGTATTCTAAAAGTCAGATAGTTGTTTATTTTCTTGACATCTGAAGGGAGGGCACCACTACCAAGAAGGCCCTCTGCCTGGTTCCCTGCAACTTCACTTCTCGCAGGGAGGGAACCGCCAGAAGGCCCTCGGAGCTGGACCTCAGAACGACGGGGGTGAAGATGCTCCTTCAAGTATACCAGGCCGAGGCCATTTAGGGCTTTAAAGGTCAGCACCAACAATACCCATGAAACCCTCTTCAGAAATAATGTTTGAACATAAAGTGCTACATTTGTATGTTCTGTTGAGAGGGGATAATCTGCAGGCACACCCATTTTTAAATCCATTTTTTATTTTATTTTAGTGTTTTAAAATGGTAAACCACCTTGGGTGGCTTGACAGAAAAGCAGGATATCAACACAATAAATGAATACATAGAATAATAGAATTGTAGAGTTGGAAGGGACCCTGAGGGTCATCTATTTCATCCCCCTGCAATGCACGAATCCTACCCACAGCAATCCCTGGGTAGAGTCAAACCACCAACCTTCTGGTTAACAGCCAGATGTACAGACCCATTGCGCCACTTGTGAAGAGTATTCATGCATGGGATCCCACAGCTACAGTCTCAAGCAGTACCCTCCAATAGCAGATAGGTGCTGGCTGTCTTTCTTAGTTCTTACTTGACTTGAAATCCAAAGGGAGCAATCCTACGCACAGAATGCTGACATAAAGCAAAGCGGTATAAAGTGACGGGATCCAAACCCTGTTCAGCAGTGGGTCTGCCGCTCTGCCTAAGTCTGGCAGAGGGAAAATAAGCCTTTATAATAGTGTCCTACATCAGACGAAGCTGGTGGGGGTTTAGGATCCAACCTAAGTCCACCCCAACCTGGTCTCATCACAACCCCAGAACATCTCATTTTTGGAATTTACACCAGCCTTGGCTGAGCCAGGATGAGCAAGTTACACTGCCAAATGTTCAGTCGAGCTGGAGATCTGATCTGCTGCATCCTAAGGTGCTTGTCCTTTCGGATCTTGTCGTAGGATTGCCCCCAAATAGCCTGTTTTAAATTATTTGTGGATGCAGCTGGCAAAATGACCAACCAACTTCTCATTACAACAGTGGAACCCAACCTAGAAAAAGTCCTATGAAGGGAGAGGCTTGTGAACGTATTGGTTGAAGCTGCGACAGAATGCTGTGGGTCTTGGAAGACTGTTGGGTGTTTGAAGGCTTTAAAAGGCTCGAATACACAGATAAAGCCAAAATCTGTAGCCTGCTGTGTCCCATTCATATAAATGGGAAGAACCTGGCATAGATCCAGTAATCCTGGCCACTCTGAGGCTGGAGTTGCGTCTGCCTTGCAACATTACGTCATCCTCGACCTTTTCATTGACAAATTTGTGCCGGCCCCATTCTCTGATTACTTCAGCTCTCTTTATGGCTGGATAGTGGTGCCCTCTGGTGTGTATGTGTTGAAATACACCAAACACTTGTTTCGGAGATTAGCTGCTGCTGTGTAATGTAGTCACTACAGTGCAAGGGAAATGCTGTTTTATTTGTATGCATTTGTAAGATTCTGAGGAGTGACGGCCCCGGCAGTCTTTCAGGCTGCTGATAGGGCTGTAGCTCAGTGGTGGACCACATGCTTTGTGTTTGAAAGGTCCCAGGATCAATCCCTAGTATTTCCAGAGATGGTGTCTTAGTATTAGGCAGCTTCTTGTGCAGTGGAGGTTTAGGGATTCCCTGAGAATCACTGGATTCTCAGTTGAACTGGTTTTATCTGAAATGGCACTGAGGCTTCAAATGTAGGGTTATAGAAATGATCAAACAATGGCTCAATTTAAAATATCGTTTCTGACTTCATAAAGCATGATTTATCAAGCTGGG